TTTTGAAAAATCGTTTCACGTGTTTCAGCGTTTTTTTTTAATGTTGGAAGTTGTCGAAATATTTGACCGTCCCGGTACATAATTGACACCCTGTATATTCAGGCATTAGGTCCACTCTAACCATGGGCAAACAATGCATCAAACTCCTCAATCTTCCTTTTAACAACGCAAAACATTGTTCGATCTTTGTCCTTGCAGAGGAATGTCGGAAATTGTAATGTTTCTGCACATCACTTAAATGTCCATTATCTTTAAATGGTACTAAGAGATGTTCGTGTAATTCATAAGCAGCATCTCCTATCAAATGACTGTTATTGGGAAATTTTTCTTCAATATTTAAGAATGTGGCTACTTCTGACTGCCTGAAGATTCTTTGATCATGAACAGATCCTGGATGGCCAATATAACAATGAGTGATTAAGGCCCTGTGATCGCACACCGCCTATAATTTAAAAAAATTAAAGATATAATCACATATATAAAGTTAATATATAGGCCAAAATGATTGTTACAAATAATTTACTAATAATTTACTTGCAACTGGATGGAATGATATCCTTTCCTGTTTATGTAGTCTACTGCGTTTTCTTTGGGTGCTTCGATTCTAATGTGAGTGCCGTCTATGGCACCAATTGTATTTGGAAATCCACTGGCTTCTTCAAACTTGTGCATTATAATTTGTGCATCTTCATTTGAAGGCCAAGATATAAATTGAGGAGCTATTGTAAATAGAGCTCGTGTAACTCTTCTCACAGCTCTCAGTGCTGTAGCTCTACCAACGTTAAATCGATCACAAATGGATCTATAAATAATTATAGATAATAAGTTTAATTGTACATTAAGTGTTCGAAAAGCTGCATGCAATCCATCATACCTATAGGAATTCATTGTGGCCATTTTCCACAAGGCAATTAAAAATTGTTGACGAGGTGGAATTGTTGGACAACCTTTTATTTCTCGAATAAGATAATTACTTATTATATCTAAAATGAATTCGAATGTTGCGCGGTGCAATCTAAAATTAAGTTAAGTAAAAATGTCTATTAGAGTTATACTTTTCAATAATTACAATTATAAATCACATTAATAGAAATACAAATATTGCAAAATCATTCAATAAATATATTTATAATATATTTATTTGTACTTCTGTTAATGTAATTGAAAATCTTTTTTGTATATTTAAAAAAACTCGTTGAAAATATAAAAGATAATATCTAACCTAAAATGACTTTTGAATTCGTAATCCATATAGCGCGAGACAGTCTGTAAATAATTCTCTATGCGAGGACGTTTAACCCGTTTTTTTTTATCACGTAAGAGAATCTCGTATTCTTCATCAGAACTACTATTTTCATCACTGGAAGAATAATTATTCTTCATTATCTGTACGACAGATATAACCGCAATCTCTACCATTGTGAGCGTGAACGTTGTGAGCGTTAAGTGGAACGACTTGTGACGTCAACGCTCACGCCACGCTCACGCCGACCCACCTCCTTAGTGCGAGCGTTGTGAGCGTTCATTTGTATCATCTGAAGTTGTTCACTTATAGCGTCCGCTGGCGTCGTGGGCGATAAGTGGAACAGCACGAAGAGCGATCTGAGCGTTGCGAGCGATATGTGGAACGCACCCTTAGTCGCTCAGTAGATATACTATGGGGATTCTAACCCAGTGATACAGCCACCTGGCTGCCACCAGGCGGCGCTGGCGTCGCGATCGCGAGAGGAACTATGGCGCGGGGGTGGAGGGGAGAGGATGGCGAAGACGTGCTTGTGGCGCGGAGGGAGGAGGGGAGAGGAGGGGAAGGTTCCAGCGCTATCTGTGTTTACATAAACACTGATAGCAATAATACGTGCACCAAGTGTATAAAATAAAAATTAATTTTAAACTATTAATTTTTTTATTCACATATAATTACATTCGGTTTTTTTTTCGTGTGTATTAAAAACTAAAGCTAATAGCTCGCAATCGACGAGCTGATGTCCATTGAAAATATCGCTATCGCGTATAGTGTCTTCGGAAGCGATGTTGGAGAATCGCGTATACTTGAAATCGACCGTATCGACGAGTTGGACTAATCGTTCGAACGTTACATCGATACATCTGTCAAACGCAAACATGCGGCGTAACATCGTTTCGGTCATCGTAATGCGTACGGACGAAGAATCGAGGCGTACGAGCGTAACATCGTTCATCGTGCAAATTCTGACAGCTAGCAGTCCAACGCTTATAAAGTTGTCCTTGTATTCGTTTCGCAGCATCTTGTAAATATTTCAATCCGGTTATCAAATGTTATGATGTGAACGACAAAATTTTTTTATTGCAGTCCAACGCTTATAAAGTTGTCCTTGTATTCGTTTCGCAGCATCTTGTAAATATTTCAATCCGGCTATCAAATGTTATGATGTGAACGACAAAATTTTTTTATTGCAGTTCAACGCTTATAAAGTTGCTCTTGTATTCGTTTCGCAGCATCTCGTAAATATTTCAATCCGGCTATCAAATGTTATGATGTGAACGACAAAATTTTTTTATTCACGTATAATTACATTCGGTTTTTTTCGTGTGTATTAAAAACTAAAGCTAATAGCTCGCAATCGACGAGCTGATGTCCATTGAAAATATCGCTATCGCGTATAGCATCTTCGGAAGCGATGTTGGAGAATTGCGTATACTTGACATCGACCGTATCGGCGAGTCGGACTAACCGTTCGAACGTTACATCGATACATCCGTCAAACGCGAACATGCGGCGTAACGTCGTTTCGGTCATCGTAATGCGTACGGACGAAGAATCGAGGCGTACGAACTAACATCGTTCATCGTGCAAATTCTGATGGCTAGCAGTCCAACGCTTATAAAGTTGTTCTTGTATTCGTTACGCAGCATCTTGTAAATATTTCAATCGGGCTATCAAATGTTACCATTATGCGCATTATTGAGATATTAAGCAGTGCTGCGCGCTATCTCATATACCAAACATCTTTCTCTCGATGCATTATGCCGCCCGTTGCGACTAATGTGCATTCTATACTTACGATCTTTTCTCTCATTGTAGCTTCCTATGTGATCCCTTTTACTTATTCTCATACGCAAAATATATACATATACATATATATTTTTTTATTTCTATTGTACTTATTCGATTATATTCTAATATTCTTTTAAAGCGAGCGCAACGATATTATCAGACGCGATGATGTCATCGATCACGATAATGTTGCTGGCATATGTAATATAATACCACGAAGAAAGTAGGAAGGAAAAGAAGGAATAAATATCGCAGACGGAAGGAATGATTAATTTCAAACGCTGAGACATACAGTTTAAATATTTGTTTATTTTCCATATACTATATATTATCATCCATAGTGTAACTAATAATTCACATTTAA